TCTATTCTCCTTCTCATTTTCTTTCCTTTCCTTTCTGCATGCTGCTTCTCCTGACTTCTGTTAGTATTCTGTGTCAGGCTATGATCCCTTATGAACTCGTGTGATTTGAACCTTTACATGTTCCGTGTCTAATTGATTCTTTGCTGGGTGGGCTGAGAGCTGGAGAATACTAAATATTTAATTCAATGCTGGGAGGAAATTTGTCTGTTTGAAGTGTGTCTGTATATGTGTGTAGTTTGACCTTTAAAATGAAGAAAATATTGTACATACAAATGTCCCATCCCCTGTAAATGGACCTATTATGCTCAATTCTAACTTCATGTTTTCATTCCATCACTAGTGATGTTTTGCATAGTTCACAGTTCCAAAAAATAAAAAATAATCTCTTATGAATCATTTCTAATTGATTTAGAAAGACTGTTGAATTTGATCTTTGTGCAAATCCATTTAGTACTTGCTGTTTTGGTGCTGGAAGAAATTGTTCGGCGTGTATAGACACTGTGTAACCACTGCTTTCTTTCCTCAGAGGCTAGGTTGATAATCTATCAGAGGTTGATAAAAAAATTGTTAAAGTTACTGCGTTCAAAATCTCACAACTAGATGTCAGTAAAATAGAGACTGAAGTCATCTGAATTCTGTTTTCTTACCTCTCCCAATTCAAATGCATAATTCTAGCTATGGTAGCCACTGTAGGACAAACAACTCTGTAGTGAGTATAGGCTGTCAGTTCCCTGTTTACCTCTGCTGGTGCCTATGTCTGTTTACTGTGGAGGAGGCTGTAAAAGGATTATTCTGAGGTGAGTTAGCATGAACATGAACCTCTCTGTTCGTTAGCATTGCTGTATTTGCCGCTGTTAGTGGAATTTTGTTTGAAGTGGATCTATGATTGTTGGACTTGTTGTTGGACATTACATGGATAATATTGGTCTACAACCAGCTGCTGTTGTTGTTTACCTGGCTTATTGTCAAGACAGTAGGGTCGCACGTCTAATCTGCTGACAATAAGTAATTATAATATCTGCACACATAAAAATGCACATTTTTGAGCGTTTTTTAGTGCTGGCCAGTTCAGGACATGAGGCTTGAGATGGGAAAGAAGTGTGACATTTTATGCAGGTCATCTTGTCGCTTCTTTGGTGGAGGGGACCCCTTCTAAGGCGGTAAAAGATAGGTACGATTCTTCATATCTTGAGTCTGAAGTGGCCAGTACGACGTACGACATATGTGGCCAGTCTCTAGCCACATATATAAATTAGACGGAAACACGATGTCCATATGGGGTGGGGCAACATGGCGACCTCCAAAAACCAGTGCCAGTTCCCTTGTATTTTCAATAGATACATTCAGAGTTCATGAGCATGCATCTGTTTCTTGAAGGACATAACTTAGCAATGTAAAATGTACAAAATTATTTTTTAATGAAATAATTTTTTTTAAAGTTAAAGAAATGACAGTATCTGGAGGATGGAGAAAAACGTGGCGGTAGTAAGATATCTTTGAATGTTATCAGGTTGTCGTGTGTCACTCAACGTCCAAATCAACGTCCAAATCAGTTTGAGTGATTCTGGACAAAAAAAACATTCATATTGCTGATTAGCAGCCTGCAGTAGACTTTGCCCTATATTGAAGAAGAACTGGCACAAGACAGACTAAATAATTGAGTCAGACTATGAAGATTTAAAATATTTATACGCCGCTCTCTGTGATTGTCACTATAGCTCAACACACTTG